AACTCTGTTTGGCTGCTTCTATGCCGGATGATATGGTTTTTGTTGAGTCCAGTTCTTGCCATTTATTAACCTATGACAATGGTGAATGCAAACGAAAGTACTTTACTTTGTATTCCAAAAACCTGATAAATTTACAGAGACTTGCACGATTTTGTGCCACACTCATCTTCAAGTGCCTAAATAAGAAAAATTACTCTCAAATCTTACAAAACACAGAAGAGAAACGAAAAGTTACAACAATCTTGTGATGATTCACCTAGCAGAGCCTCAAATTTTTTGGCTATACTAATCGATTGTAAGCTAAGAGGACGAGACAGGAAAAAGAAGTGATCGGGCTATTGACTCTGGAGATCTGGCCTAAGTACAAGTCTAGTGATGAAAGGGACCATGGCTGCAAGAAGCGCCTTGGGACATTCCTCGTGTGGTAGATGCCCACATCCCGAGATTGCTACTAGTCTCTGTCATTGACATGAATGAACGTCAGTTTTTGTTTTGACATGAAAACAGATTGCAGCGCTGAGAAAAAGAGTTTTGCGTTTGAAAGAGGGGACTCACGGAGTTTAGGAGTTTAGAAGCCATTGCTTGGGAGGACTTCAATGGCACAAGGGCGTCCTCGGCTCCAGCAATGACTAATACTGGCAGATTTTCCACAGACTTCAGAAGCGAACCTGCATTTTGAGGTGCAAGCACCATCTCGTATGAGAGCCTACCTATCTCATGAAGTGCCTCGTCCCAGCCTTCTAAGTGTAATGGGGCCTGGTAAGGAGGAAAACACAATACTTAATGATATATATATCAAATTTGCAATCTTTCTAGACATCTGTGAGGTACAGTAATGATGGAGAAAGGCACCTTGTATAGCCTTAGGACGTCTGTTGTCATCTTGTTAGGATCATACCAAGCGCGACGATTCACCACCTGAGCTATCTCAGTACGTAAAAGAGGGCGAACAAGGTGCTTCTTCCCTAGTGATGTGTGCAGAAGTATTCTAGCAAAAGCTGGAACTAATTCCCTTGTCAAGCTAACATTGAGCAAAACCACTCCTTTAACCACGACCTAGAAATAATAGAGCACAAGACATTATCAAATAGGACTACAAAGAAAAAGAGAGAAGCATGTATACCATACGTCTGACTACAAGTCTACTCACTTTGATGGGATCGTTTGTTATAATCAATCTTTGTGCAGCTTTCAGAGCAAGCAGACCACCGTCATCGTGACCAACAAATACTACTGAAGAGAACCCCATCTCATAACAGAAAGCAATAAGCATCTCTACCTGGACACCCAGAAATTATTATTAACTCAAGATTTATTTCAAAGAGATAATAAGTCTGAGAAAACACAAATCCGCTCATTAAGGTATAGTTTCAGGATTGAGCAGACAGCTACCTGATTTTCAAGTGTGTACGGATTGAGCAGCTGTCTTTCTTCCAAATCATTTTTATGTGGCCTGGCTGTTAAACCCCAACCAGGCCTATCAAAGGCAGTGACGGCACAGCCAAGCTGATGAGCCAGAGACCCCATCACATGCCTCCAAGAAAACACTCCTCCCCCAAATCCATGAACCAAAACCACACCAAACTGACCACTTTCATTTTCCAGGTCTTGCGCCTCAGCCCCAAAATTGAACACATTCATGTCATCCTCTAGACCCGTTCCTTCCTGAATTTCTTTGAAAAGCAGAGGAGATGTAGGAGAACCATCAAGAAGAGGGTCGTGCAAGGAAGAATTGTTAAACAGACTGTTGTAGCTCCTGTGGTGATGATGATGCTGGCTTTTCGCGACCATGCTCGACACTTTCCTGTCAAACTTCAACCTTCCTGCCATTGTCTCCGGCGTGTTGTAGCTAGAATTGGCCTCAAGAACATTTGAGGAGCTAGATTGCCGAGGTGAACCAGGTGCACAAAGCTTGTAATGCACAGTGAGCCCACGGATTGTAACGAATAAACTGTCAACGTCAGCAAGCAACCTCACTGGAAGCTCTCCATCGTCGTGGGACAAAGGCTTTCGCCTTGCTTCTCCATCAAACTTGGAGGCCTTTCCAACTAAAGGAGTGGGAGACCGTGGGACTTTCTGGTGGCCAGAGAAGATGCCTTTGCATGAAAAAACCTGTCACACACTCCAATTAAGCCAAAAACAAAGCAAATGCTTGGTATTTACGAGACTCAAGCGAAAGGAAGAAAAAAAACTCACAGCTTCAGGGTCAACTCTGGGATACAATATTTTCCTTCTTGCTCTGCAACTTGTCCTGTATGCTACAACCGTATGACCAAGGGCAAAAACCACAGATGAGAGAAATAAAACCGGCATCCCCCACGACTTCTTCAGGTGGAGCCGTCGTCTAGACTGAGAGAAGGAGGCTTCCGTGTTGAGTTGAGAATTTACAGTGAAAACGCAAGCTTTAACTGAAAGAAAAAGAACCGAAACTACAGAACACAGAGACACAGTTCCGAGGTAAGGACCGTGCGAGAGCGCAGGAACGTCCGAGAGTGCATAGATACCTGTTCATGAGTTATACAACTAATGAGCATCTATGAGAGCTAAAATTCAACACATAGAGATTGAGCAGTAACAGCCAAAGAACAAAACCAAGAAAACGCAATGGTAATACATGTAGGGATTATTATTCTTACAGATGACAAGGAAAGATCTGACAAGGGAGACGATAGGAATATCAGTTAAGGATCTTTTGAAACCGTATCGACTCAAATGCTCTTTGGTGCTGTAACACGTCACGCAAGTAAAGCTAGACAACAAGAAACTCGGCACCAAAACATCACCTATAGCTACTAACAAAGGTAAAGACGAAACTAGCAACGAAGCCAACATCGCAACCATGAAGAAGACCGTACGCAAACATCTCCTCGTTTTTTCAACCATAAACCAACTTTTCGCCATCTTTCGCAGAGATCACCACCTCCTCGTCGCCGATTTCAAATCACAATGCTTGATCCTTTTCTCCGATTAACCGAATCAGATCTTTTTTTTCCTCTTCGTCTTGTTCTATGTAGGAGTCGAAACCCTAGATACAAGAAACGGGAACGACCAACAATCAAACGAATTCGAGTAAATTCGAGATGAAAGTAGAGGGTTGCCCATCTGTCGTCGACAGATCGGCGGCGAACAACGACGATAAATACTACAAATTGGGGGAAGGAAAAAATAAGGGATTCAAAAGTCACGAGGAAACGCCATTGCTACGATTCTGTTTAAGAGATTGAAGCAGAGAGATTTTCAGAATCGTAGGAAAGACGAAAGGAAAGGGAAATAAAAAATAAAAAAAATTGAAACTTCTTGGTTTCTCTCCAGGAACAAAAACCTCCGTTTTATTCTGTTCTTCTTTTTCTTCGGCCTCTCTTTTAAAAAAAAAAAATATATATATTAATATTGCACGACGTGAGAAATATTATATTTTGTTAAAGTACACAATAACTTCATGGTTTGTTTATTCTGTTGACATTTTTCTTCATGGTTTACACCAGCTTTTTTGATTTATACGTTGTTGTAGCCTGTCCGTTGTGGATATAGAGGCTATCTTGCTTCGGTCGTTGCAAATTCGCCTACTGTTTCTGGTTTGGTGAGCATGTGTTCCTATATACGTGTCTCCAGTATCGATTGATTGTATTTCTTTGCTTTGGTATTTATGAATTGGTTTGCCTTCGGGTTAAAGTTTAGACCTTGTTTTCCTTTTTTGCACTCTTGGTTCTAGATTTTGATTCCGGTTTGGATTAGCTACGGTTCGATGCACTCTGTTCCGGTTTTGATCATCTTTGTAATATCCTTTTCTTGCTATAATAAATCACTTTAAATGCCAATAAAAAAAAAAACTTCACATTCGTTGTACGGTACAACTTGTACCGAAGTAGTAGTAACTAAAATATACTATATTGCTTAATTAATCAGATTTAATTTGTTCCAGTCTCTAATAGCCAGTGATTAATGTATATTAATTTCTTTTGTTTACGAATTTGACACACACAAAAAAAGAAATACAGTACTACACACATAAAAAACTTGACAACTTGGTCCGATCCGTCTCTCTGCTCGGAGCTGTCCAATTTTTCGTTGGACAATTCTAATCCTTTTTGAAAGCATAATAAATATTCGAAAGAGCACTTTATTTCCAATTTAGCATGAAATTTAAAGAAACTAGTTATTTGTAATGAATGAAACTTTAACTTTAACTTTTTATTCTCTTTATCATTTTATGACAGATACATTCACGGTCGACCTTGATTAAGCTGGTAATAAAGCGAGTATAGAAATAATATTCGAAACATTTATGACCTAATTTTCTAACTATAAGACAGATGCTTTGTAATTTGTCGACAAACAACGAAAACAGACCGATCTGATTAAAATATGAGTGATTACCATTTCGGACGTATTTTCTCTGTCTCCTTTAAGCTCACTCCACATATTTATTTATGCAAAACAG